TGCAGCAGCAGCAGGAGCAGCAGCGAGAGAGAAAGGGGAGGAGGGCAGGACAGAGAGGGGGACGGAAGGTCACCACCTACCTGACAGGTTCAGCCTCTGCTCTCAGCAAGACTCATCTATATTCACTCCCTGTCACCTTGGAAAAAGAGAAAAAAAAAAAAAGAAAGAAAAAAGGCACTGCTACCTACAACCCATCAGCAAGTAAACTAAGCTTAAAATATATCTATAAAAAAATCACATATCTATTTAAACGCAGTAGAAGCCACAGCAGCTGAAGCTGATCCCTGGGTAGCATGAATACCATGAACCAGATAGAAACAAACATGCAGTACACCTACAACTACGAAGAAGATGAGTACATGACCCAAGAAGAAGAATGGGACAGGGACCTGCTCCTCGACCCAGCATGGGAGAAACAGCAAAGGAAGGTCTGGAAATAATGTGTGTCTGTGTATGTGCTTCTGTGTGGAATGATGTCCTCTCTTACTGCCATGCTGCATCTGGAATTGCCAGGGCTGTGCAGTAACGGGTTCTAATTTTGTAAGAGAATACATTTTACATCATACAAAGCATGTATATAATGTATAGTAGCTATACGATATTTCGAGGACAAAGCATTCACTTTCTGGATTCTTATGTGAAACCTATGAAAGATGAAAATAATTAATGAGAGTCAGGAGTTTCTTTTTTTATTGCACTGGAAATACTCTGTCAGTACCTCTAGATTTATACATGAGTATTTCAGTAATTTTTAGTTTCACTTCCTGGGTCTTCCTTTTGGAAAGCAGACTCTGAATTGATGTGTGTGCCTGATTGCTTTTCAAAACCAGTAAATTGCAATTATAAACAGGGAGATGAATGAGGCGGTTCAAAATCGGTGTGCAAAAAAGTTTGCAGTATTTCTGAGAGCAGACTGGGAAACTGCTTTTGAAATTGTGATCTTGTGAGTCAGCTCTCATTAGAATTTATTCTTGATTCTGACTGAATGATCTGACAAGGAAAATACTGCCTAGAAATATATCCAGGCTAGATTTGGAAAACTGTATTTCATGATTAGGTTCCCACATGCTCATTCATTGTCTGGGAAAAAACGGGTCTGTAAACTCCTTGGAATATACCATTGTAGAGGAAATGCTTCTTGCCTTTTACGTGTAAGAAAACTATTATGCCAACAAGTACTGCCCATGCTCTTTTTCTGAACGTAGGCAGAGATTATAATCCCATCAGCAGTCTTGTCAATGGTTTGGTACGTTAGTAATATTTGCAATATCTAATTTCAGAACACTGAGTTTTAATCAGCATATGGAAAAGAGAGAGATGAAATATTGTAAAGGATTTGTTACTTCCTTAATCTAGAAGGTGATGTTGAAGTCACAGCTGACAGATCTGAGATTAAAAGGTTATCTGCTGGTTACAAGAATGAAGAAAAAAAAACAGAGGCGAGAAAGAGAAACAGCACTCTAGACAGTAAGGTTGAATACGCTTTTTGCTATAGGTGAGCAGGTCACTTCAAAAACTTAAGTAGAAGTTGCCAACTTATATCTGATGACAGAATCTAGCCCACTGTTACAGTCACAGCTTCTATAAAAGCTATACTATAAACATAAATGTAAAAGCTGTTAGAATCATTGGGGCCAATGGGTTTGCTTTTCCATTCAAATTGGTAGAGCCAATGTTTTCCTCTCAGTTTTTACTTGTAGCCTTCCTCCTTCTGTGACTTTTAGCTGGTTTTATTGATTTTCCTACATTCACACCTGTTTGGATCCTGCTGTACGACTATAGTGGGAGAAGTTCTGGGCCAGGACGAAGTTCACTTTTCTTGATCTACCGGCCACTGCAACTCCTAACCAATGACTAAGCTGTACTCATCAACACTGCCATTTGTTTTAATTTGACACCCTTTAGATGGTGAACTGTTCTTCTACGTTTTATAATGAGAATGGAAATTATCTTAGTGCTGAAGTGCTTTAGTGATGTGAAACTGCTCAGCTGTAACAGGTCATGGTTACATCTGATTCGGATTAAATTGTCCAGCATTTCAGAAAATGCTGTTTTCAAAATAAAGAAATAATGGACAGGTTACTAGATTAGTTAGCACTTTAATGCAGTTTTACTACAATACAGATAAATGATAAAAGTAAAGAGAATTTGGATTCTGTAGGCTTTCTTATGTTTACAGTAAGTCTCTTGACTTTTACAGAAGAGCAGGGAGTAGTTAGTATAAGACCCCACAGCAAATTTTTTGTTTCCGTTCCTCCAAACAGACAGCGCTTCAGCAGAAAGTCAGGTTTCCACACTGATAAATTAAAGTGGACTCTGCTTTACTTCCATAGACTAGAGAGATTGTGGCTTTGTTACTTTATGTTGCCAGTTCCCAGGGCTTAGTTTTAATATCAAAGTGATACCACATTTAAACAAAATTTAGGAGAGGGGATCCTCATTCCTTGTCTTGGAAAGGAGTCTGAATTTATTATTACATGAAAAATAAGTACTCTCATGATAAAGGGCCTGATAAACTTTATAAAATTTCAAGGCTTCTGTCTTTTTCTAATTGGTGCTAAGACAGCTGCAGAAAGCGCTTGCTTTATTTCCTTATTTATTAGGAGAAGATTGCAGATACATGGGCACAGATCTTTGTTCTAACTGGTAATACAATATTGAAAAGTGATCTCAGTGGAGCCCTGGCAGTTGGCAGCATATATTTTCTATTAGACATTCTTGGAACAAACCAAAAATAAATGCCATTGTTTCTATTGTGGGCTGCCCTCTCCAGACTTGCCATTTCAGTGATATGCCTGGTATGAGATCTGTCAACAGATGCTGGTAACACATGATGACGTCCATAGGATTACAATGGATGTGACGCCTAATTATAACCATGGTTCATAGAGTATTATGGTCTGCTGTAATCCAGGCTCCTTGGTGGGTGCAGATGTCAGAATAAATATGAAATACACTATAGGAAAGGAAGCTGAGTTGTAGCATAGCTCTGTCTCTCTGAATGTGAACAACAATTTAAATGCTTTAGTCGAGGCAACATTTAGCCTGTGTCAAATCAAGGAATCAAGAAAATACAACAATTTGACCATTTGCTGCATTAGGCACTATTAGTAAAAACTTAAACAGGATCATATAGTTGGAAATTTCAGGCAGCAACTTTAAAGAAAGACTAAATAACAAAAAGAAAGTATTTTGGATGCACATGCTGTCTTCAGTAGGAACTAATTAGAGAACTACAGCCTTCGAGCCTTTTGAACATGTACGTGGGAACTTCTGAAATCTGCTCCTTGACCCAGTACACTTCCACTGGCCATGTGCGCTTAAACGGCACTTGAAAGATCTATGAAAGTCTGCCCTTGTTTCTTCAGTACTACCTGGAAATAGAAAAGTATTGGATGTCAAAAAGTCTGGTCAGAGGGGGTGGGATTCTCTTCTTCACTCTGCTCTGGAACCTTAGGCAAGGACAGCTCACCTGAGACCTTGGTTTGCCCACTGGTAAAAAGAGGACAGCAGTGATACTTGTACCAGCTGATAGAAGTGGTTGGTTCTATGGTATGTCAGACTAGTGATTAGCTGTGTTTCAGTCCTTACTCTGCTGGACTGGAGTTGAAGTAAAAAAAGTCATACTAGCTCATAGTGGAAGACTTAGAACCTGATTTCTCTTCTCTCTATAATAAATTTATTTCTTAAGTTTCCAAAAAAAGTTCAACAAATGCCACAAACGTTGTAGTTTTCACTAGCCTGTATCTCAATATAACTAAAAGGAACATAGGAAAATGCAGTGTCCCTTAGCTTAGGAAACCAAGCACAACAATGCTACTCAAAATGCAAACGTATTGTTTGCAACGTGTTTGAACTGCCAACGCTACTTAGTGAGCTGTGTGTTAAACAGTGCTCTTTCTTATTTGTAACTTTTGCTATAAATACTTTATTATAGGAGTGTGCTTTTTTAAACTTTGACATGAAATGTGGTTTGTTAGTGTTCCAAGGAAGTCTTAAGCTTTCAGGATAAAGATCTGAAGGTTGTGAAACAGGTGTGATCCCTTCTTCAGGACAGTTGTATTGTATTGTAAACCACTAAACTGGCTTCACATATTTGATATGTGTCTTCTCCAGACATTCAGGCGTGTCTCTGACACTGTTGCACTTAACACAGGTAAGGAAAGAACTAGAAACATACTCCTTGCCTTACTGATACTAATCTTACTCTAGCTTGCTGTATGGCCCTGATACCACCGCTTTGTTAGTGCAGAAGGGTTTTAATTTAGGTGTCACTGCAATTTCTGACCATTTTGATCTTTTTTTACACTGGTATAGAATAAACAAGATGACTCAGAGTATTTACTTACCTTGATATTGCACTCCTTGTGAATGCAAATCTTGATGACACTGAACGCTGTGCATGAGTGAGGACTTTGAGGAAGGGTCTTTAGGAAAGAAGCTGCGTCTTTCCAGTCTTCAGAAGTATGTATCAGATTACATTTTCGGTGTGAACTATAAGGATTTATCTGCATTACCTCCTTTGGCTGGTAATACAACTCCTGTTGTCCTTGCAAATAAAAAAAAATGCATCTGGAAGCCACATGTGTGGCAAATTATTTGGAAGAAGCTACCAGGACTATGAATTACGGACAACATCCTTCTTTTTCTAGTGTTGCTGCAACTTCATTAAGTTCAGCAGATTTGAGAGGTTCATTGTGGCCTGAAAGAGAAATTGACCTTGTGTTCAGTCTGACTTCAGTGTCTATAAATAGAGTTACAGTCAGTGTCCCGGATTCACTCTGAAGTTTGTGTGGTCTTCTATGGATGGAATCTAAATTGATTTCTTATCAGAAACCTCTTCCTGGAAGAAGTCTACTGCTGAGTGAGAAGACAGATGAAGTAGTGGAGGGAAACAGCTTCATTCTTTGACCAGGAAGAGAAGGAGAGAAATAACTAAGCCTGAATGAATGAAAAAGAAGTGTAAGGCTGAAGAACATTGGCAGGAGAGGCTGGATGCCACCAGCAAAATTAAGTACTGTAGAACCACTCCTCATGGATTTACAGGCTCCAAATTGACATCATTGTCATGGAGAATATAGCAATATCTACAGTGTGTACAGGGCATTCCAGCCGAGGTCTTGCTCTTTACTGAGATTGTCTGGAAATAATCAAAGTTGGGGCTTTGGGTGCGGGGTTGGGGGGGGGGGGGGCAGCAGTGTTTGGGGGTTTTTTGTTTGCATTTTTTTGTCTTCTTTTTGGCTTTTGTTTTTTTAGACCGTGCACAATTCTTTCCTTGAATAATCAGCCTTGGGGTTAAGCTCCCATAGCACACAGAGAAACCATCCACATCTGGAGGGTTTTTAATGAGATGACACTTTTTGCCCTTGTAGAATACCAGTGGGATTGTTGAGAAGGTACAGAGATTCCCCTCTGCAAGTGAGCAACA